TGGATAATTCCATTGTGCAACATAAAAATATTCAGGGGAATGTTGTCATTGGTTTTGAATTTGTTTCATTTGAAATTAGTGGCAAAAGAAATAAATAAAGATAAACCAAAACTGGAAATAAAAAGGAAAGAGAAACTTACCTGGCCTTACCTGGCGCGGCCCAGTTGGCGCTTGCTTAGTCGCCGTCGCTTCCGCGATCTCTTTCCTGCGGCAATTGGCACCGCCGCCACCGGAGGGGAGAGGGAGGAGGAGCATGGCTTCCCATCGATGTCTTTAGCAGGCGCGGCGACGGTGGCGGTGGGCGGCTGGGGTAGGAGATGGTGTTTTTTTTTAGAACCGAGACGGTGGTTATAGAGTTTTTTTTTTTGAAAAATACGGTGGTTATCTTTTTTTTTAGGATCAAATACGGTGGTGGGGGTAGTTGTAATCGGCCAGTGCGAGAGGGCCAGGGCCCAATATCAATCCAGGCCAGTGCGAGAGGGCAAGGGCCCAGGCCCAAAGACAATCGACGACCCAGCCCGACGGACGAAAGCATCCCTGTCATGTCGCCGTCGTCGCCGCAGCACCCGCCGCCGCCGCCGGCGAACGGCGGCCGTCTCCTCGTGCTCTACGCGTCGCAGACCGGCCACGCCGAGGAAGCCGCCGGGCGCGTGGGCCGCGAGGCCGAGCGCGGCGGCTGCCCGGCCGTGCACGTCCTGTCCATGGACAGCTTCGACCCTGTAAGCTAGCAAGCTCCGAGCCCTACAAAACGCTTGCCTTCCACCCGCGGCCGGTCTCTCATTCGAACTCCCTTCCGCTTAATAATCGTTGTGCAGAGGCGCTTGCCGGGAGAAAGGTTTGTGGTCTTCGTCGTGTCCACCGGCGGGCAGGGCGACCCCCCGGACTCCATGAAGGTGGTAGAGCGACATCGTTGAGATGCAGTTCCTCTGCTCGTAAGGTTCTCTTGGTTCTGTTCTGCTAATTGAGATTTTGTTTTTTGGGTGGCTTTGCTGGTGACAGGGGTTCTGGAGGTACCTTCTGAAGAAGAACCTTGATGCCCGGTGGCTGCAAGGGTTCCGTTACGCCGTGTTTGGGCTCGGCGATTCACGCTACCAGGATTACAATGTTGGTCTTCTGACTATGATTTCTTAGCTTGCTGCTGCGCTGTGTGGTGTGTTTTGGTGATACAATACAATGATGCTCATTGATTTGTTGTGCATGCACTGCAGGTTGCTGCAAAGAAGCTCTGTAAAAGGCTTTCACAGCTTGGTGCAACAAAACCGATCATAGGGATAGGCTTGGGAGATGACCAACACTCTTCAGGGTACGCTGTTAGCATCTGTCGCTTGTATTTGCTATCGTTGCTGTTCATTTGCGGTTTTTTGAGAAGGCAAATTCCATATCTGTTGTGGTTCCAAGCATTATTTTTCTTCTTGGTGGAAAGCAATTCCTCATACCAAGTGATTCCTTTTCTTTCTTTTTTTGCTATATACCAGATATGAAAAAGCTCTAGCTCCTTGGCTGTTGTCTTTGTGGAATTCACTGAATCGAACAAATCCGTCACTTTTACCAAGAATACCCGACATAATAAATCCCAATCTGAATAATTTGGGGGATGCAAAAGGTCGAAGTCATATATTACTCTTCCGATGATACTCCACAAGACTCCGTTGTTTCAGGTCTGAGGTCTCAGTGATGCTAATTTTAGCAGCAAACATGTAAGCTGTTGTGTAATATCTCTTCTAAAGATCATATCTGTCATCTATTCACCAGACTCCAAGAAATTAATCAGGAGAGCACGCTCAATGAACCCTGCTCTAAAGTTCCATAATGATGGAGAGCCACAATACATGTTAAAGATGGTACGTTCTGTATATCCTGTCCAAGTATTTAATACTTTAAATCATCTTTTCATTTTATTCTTATCACTCGTTGATAGTTTGGTTACATCTGGTTCGGATAATCCAGCAGTTCTAAATATGAGTATACATTTATCTCTAGGGAATCTTTGCTAATTACGTATAAAATATTACTCTATGTTGCGTGTTAGGTTACTGAATGTAGTATTTGCTCCTGAGAAATTTCCATCTTGAGTACTCAAGAAATTCATGAGTCAACACCATTGAAACCTGCATATCTGCAAAAAGGTTTATGTCCCCAGAAAGCCCTGCATATCTGCAATCACCAACAGTAACACCATTTAAATGGTTTGGACTCATTTGTATAAGTCAACTTTGTCACCTGTAATTTGTTTGGCTATTTTGAGCTGACCTTACACTAATTTTTTTTATGGATATGCCTGAGTAGATTTAGTGTTGACTGGTGACTTGTTCTGGGAATTTTGCCACTGACTATTCATGAGCAAGCTCATCTTGAAGTTATGTGCCATGCATGTGATGCTGCTTTGCTGAGTTGGTTCAGTTAGCTTAGCCAGATATTTATCATTCTCACAGAAAGTCGAGCCTTAAATTATTAACTAACTATATAGCTGGTCTTGTGGGCTGTATTGTAATGGTTCTTTCTAGGGACTGCTCCTGTTTTGTGACTAGATCGATAATGTAGCCATTATGTCGCAGTTTAGTAGATTCATCTTTAAATGCTTAGTTCATGTAGCCGCTGACGCTGCTAACATTTTTAGGTAACAAATCAGCGCTTGACTAAGAAGGAGCCTGAGAGAGATGTGCGCCATTTTGAATTGGAAGACCAATCTTCTGTATGTTCTTTCTTCAATATGATGATGTTAGCTTGCAGTCCATTATCAAGTTGGTGACGCTTTGGAAATAGATTGAAAGATTCTAATTTTTTTCATGTTAGGCGATCCATTATCAAGTTGGTGATGCTTTGGAAATTCTACCAAGTCAGAATCCATCAGCTGTTAACGCTTTCATCAAACGCTGTAACTTGGATCCAGATTGCTACATAACGGTACGTGGCTTGTTCGAAGAAAACAGTATGTGGCTTCGTTTCTTATATCTCGTTGATGAGTTTCTTGTACCTTTGTGTTTTTTTGCGCCACCGAGGTAACTTCCCTTGGTATCTCGACACTTTTCCTTGCTACATTGGTTGTCTGCACATTGTTGCAAAATTAAATACAACTGCACCTTGCCAAGGCCGCTTTAGTAGTGAGCTATTCATCATGGTTTGAACAAAACATCTTTTTTTTTCCTTTCTCGAACCTATGGTTCATTGTTGTTGTTGTTGTTATTGAACCTATGGTTCTTGAGTTTACCAATAAAAACGTGGGAAACTAGAGTTAGCTATGCCTTCTTATATCTTCTCAATCAGTCATCCAGTTGCACTTATATACCTAACTAAAGCAGAAACTGTTTTCTGTCTGCCCAGATTCGAGCAAAGGGCGGGGATAAATATTCCAAAGATTCACCTGTGAATGGCTTGATGGATCGCATCAAGTTAAGGACCTTTGTTGCTTTGACAATGGATGTTGCATCAGCTTCCCCTGGGCGGTATTTCTATGAGGCAAGAGCGGTTACCATGAATTCTTCATCTCATTTACCTCTTTTCTAGTTGTTTGATGCCACTGATATCCCGATATCCTGATGTATATGTCTAATATGTTATCTCAATGCTCACAAAACTCCGATATTCGTTTGTAGATCATGAGCTATTTTGCAACAGCTCAACATGAAAAGGAAAGGCTTCATTGTTTTGCAACAACTGAAGATGAAAAGGAGAGGCTTCAGAAGAAAAGGCTTCAGAAGGAAAGGCTTGAGGAGTTTGCTTCTCCTGAAGGAAGAGATGACCTGTACCAGTACAATCACAAGGAGGGTCGAACTGTTCTAGAAGTAAGTGCTGTATTTACTGAAGATCTCCTTTGCAATGTCCTTGCGGTACTTAGGATGTGAAAGTTATATGCCAATAGGGTATTGTCTTTGAAATTTACTTTTCATGGCTGAACAGTGAGTATGCTTTGTAAGGTATTGGAGGAATTTCCTTGGGTGCACATGCCTTTTGAATGGTTGGTGCAATTGACACCACCATTGAAGAAAAGAGCATTTTCAATATCGTCATCGCCATTAGCACATCCAAACCAGATACACTTGACTGTTAGTGTTGTGTCATGGCTTGCTACTCCTTTCAGGAGAAAGCATGGTCTCTGCTCCACATGGCTGGCAGGACTCGATCCAAATGAAGGTATGCATTGCTTCTTACAGTTACTCTGCTGCTGCTGCTGTAACAAATGTATACTCTTGCTTTTAACTTGATCACCTCGCGAAAGAAAAACCATAAACCCTCGTCGCGCTTACATGCAGGAACTCTTGTACCATGTTGGATACACCGAGGATCCCTGCCTCCTCCAGATCCGGCGACTCCTCTCGTTCTTATTGGGCCAGGAACAGGATGTGCGCCATTCCGAGCATTCGTGGAGGAGAGGGCTGTGCAGAGGGTGAAAGAACCCACAGCTCCGATCCTATTCTTCTTCGGCTGTAGAAACGAAGACGATGATTTTCTATACAGGGACTTTTGGCTACATCATGCCCAGGACAACAGAGTGCTGTCCGTGGAAGAGGGCGGCGGTTTCTTTGTCGCCTTCTCTAGGGATCAGCCTGAAAAGGTGTATGTGCAGCACAAGATCAGGGAGCAGAGTGCAAGGGTGCTGAACATGTTATGCTCTGGTGCCGCAGTATACGTCGCGGGGTCGTCTACCAAAATGCCTGCTGATGTTAGAGCTGCGCTGGAAGAAGTTGTCCGCGAAAAGGGCGGCGACGCTGGATGGCTCAGGAAACTGGAAAGGGCTGGTAAATATAACACCGAAACTTGGTCATGACTGCGGTTGCCAGAGAGAGCAAGGAAGTATATATATAGGAGCAATAGGCTGAAAATGTAACTTTATTGCGACCAATGTAACTGATACATAGATACATGTCTATATTGGAGGCATTGTGTTGTGTGCCTTCAGTTTTGAGCCAAACCAAATATAGAAGATCACACAACACTGTCACTGCGGCTTGTACATATGCATGTTACAGAGAGATGACCAACCAATGGGGTATAGTCAATGGTTAGCAAGAGCTGTCCATGAACTCCACAAGCAACTCCTTGACCGTGCCTCTGTCCGGCATCTTCCCAGCCGCGCCGTAGATCGGAGCCATCCCCCCGCTGATAGGCCCTGGATTCGCTTTCACCTGCAACCAACACCAATATAGTCAATGCTTGTGCTTTCTCTAGTAACCAGCAAAAGGTCATATTGATCACTCACTGTGTTCACAGAATCCTCGAGGTCCTTGAGGAATTCCTCATAGATAGCCGTGTGTTGAAGCGTCACGCAGATGTGCAGACTGGAGAACCAAATAGCACGGTCAGGATTGGCACTGGTATGTGGAAAACACAGCTGGTTTGTTGGATGGAATCGGGTTAATTTGGATTTACCTGTTGGGTCTCTGAAGAGCATTGAGGTGCCATCCTTTTGATGACATTATGTCATTCACCTCAAATATGTCGACTGCGTCCGACCCAAAGGCCACGACGGTCATGTCTGGCTTCCCAATCACAAATAAACCTGAGATATCATCAATTCTGCACAAACAATTACACTGTTAGTCTAGCTACAAGATTAGAGAATTACTACAAGGAATCAGACATTGTCATTCCACATTTACGAGGATATCTGGTATACAAACATTAATTTGACATTTGACTATTAGTTCAGAACAGGTGCGAATGATACAGCATACATATTGTATGTATGGTCAGTCAGAATATATTAATCTCCAAATGACCATTAGATCACAACTTTTATTGCGAAAATGCTAGTTTTTTTTTTGTTTTTTTGTTTTTTTTGCAAAACACTAGTGCTGTCAGTCTCTATACAGATCTGTTTATACTTTATAGTAAGCTTTCAAGCATGATAATCAAACAGTTTCCTTTACCCTTTTTGTATCTTCCTTGAGACTTCCATGATTTTACCAGTACTTTCCAAATAACCTGGAAAACAAGCACCAGGCCCAGGATACATCAGGAATGCTGTTCTAATACAGAACTACCACCACTCTGATAAATTTAAATAAAGTTGTTACCATTCAATCCAAGAGACATCATCGCAGCCCAAGCTCCTGCGACTAGTCCACCTGGCCTGCTTCCAGCCATAGTAGGGGAAATATAGAGCCCACCAGTCCATTCCGTCACTGAGCAAACAAGGAAAAGTAACACACTATATTACTTTTGGAATGTTTGCCAACTTAGGCTATGTAAACATAAGCAAACATTGTCAGACACATGAACAACTTAGTATACAGCTGTGTGCCACCACTACCAGAGGCAATTACGATGCAGCCCAGGTCGATATCTTAGAGAAAGGGAGTGCCAATAACAAAATCTTCTTCACTATGTTTAACAATTGACTGGAATGTTACAAAATGGTTTTGTTTTTTTACTGATTTCACAAGGGAAATTACTGTGTCCAGTTGACTAAATGTTGGAAGTCAGGATCTGATTGTATTATATAATTCAAAGAAGATGGAGACTTACCAGCAACAAATTGGTGCTGAATTTGATGCAAGTATTGAAGATGACGGTGCCAATCACAAAAGAGAGAAATGTTAGAAATTTGTAGAGCAAACTGAAGATAAATATTCCATGCTTATTTCTACCTTTCTAATTTCATGATTCCTGTATAGGACAGTACTGGTGCCTTTTGGGGCTAGCCCATACTTATGAACATCTGTTGAGATCGACGTAACACCTTTGACAGAAAAATCAAAAGGAGGAATAGGATACCTGCATGTTGCAAAGGATAAGTAGGTATAACATTAATGCTGACAGCAAGCTTCAAAACAGTGGATAGCACATCCATTGAAAGCTGTAGGACAATAGTTCGCAAAATACAAAATACTAAAAATATGTATCAGGAGATGTTATAATGAATTTCTTCAAAGTTGACACATGTATTACTACTGCTGACAAGGAGTCAGGGCACAATTAGAGAACATTAGATAACTGGAACAATATTTATTATTGTATGAGAAGAGTAAGTACCCAAGCTTACGGGCGAAAGGCAATACGAAGCCACCAAGGCATAGATCAACATGCAAGCAAATACCATATTGTGAAGCCAACTCCCCAAGTTCCTGAAATATTTTGAGTTATGAAGCAACCACCAAACTTGCTGATGCAACAGCGCAAGAAGTACGACTAATGTTTACCTCGATGGGATCAATTAAACCATGGGGAAATCCTGGTGCAGATCCAACCATCTGGACAATAGAAGTTTGTTAAAAGGAATGAATACACAGACAGACAACACATTTGAGATGCAAGCAAGACATTAAGGTACATACTAGCCTCTCGAATCTCAGGTGAATGGATGCTTACCATTATGGTGTTTCCATTTATGCACCGTTTGAATCCTTTTACATCTGCAAGAAATTCTTTATTCACAGGTACACGCCGCACTTTAATATTGAAATATTGAGCAGCTTTGTCATAGGCAGAATGAGCTGATTCAGCAATTATACTGTACAAAAGGAAACTTCTGTTACCATGGAGACAAGGAAATTGCTATGCGTTCCAAAGCAAAAAAGGTATTGGCTGAGAAACCAAATAAAATGCATCACAATCTCACATTTCGGGCTTTGTGATTCCCTTCTTTGATTGCATATAATCGCGTGATGTTTTGACGGCCAACAATATGCTTTCAGTCCCGCCTGACGTCATATTGCCACAAATTTGTCCACCAGACGCCTTTTCTTTGCTGCCAAGCAAAGCAGCTGTCATTGCTACTACTTCAGCCTCTAACTGTGCCACACTCTTGAATACATCCTGATGCAGTGGATTTGTGTGTGAAAACCTGAAAACATCGAGAAAAGTTTATGCATAGTTCATTTGGAAGTCGTCATTAGAGAATGTAGTACGACTCTAAAGGTTAGAATAATGCAAGGCCTATTCACACCGCAACTTAGAACATTTAATTATGAAGAAGAAAATCCCAAATTCGCTATCCCTATTATTGATCATGGAATTAGATACTTCACTGACTAATCTTTCGGATAGCCTATAGCCATATTATTTGGAACTTCTTTACTCATCTTGCTTGGTACAGTTAGCATGTACTCACTGACTAATCATAGTAGAGGGAGTAAGTTTTAAGAAAGTGTCCCCTGAAAAACAAATATGACATTCTTTTCACATAAGCTAGAGTCATCGCCTATCATTATCTAAAAAAAACGTCATCGCCTATTATTGGCTATATTTTCTATGTGAGGTGGAAAGTGATACGAAGCATATGTCATGAACAGGCCGTGTATAAATACAGTTCATATCAGGAGCAGCCAGGATATATTAAAATCTCAGGCCTTACATAGAGTAGGCCTTGTTTATAAGTGAAAAATGGCCTTCAGACTCGCTCCCAGCGATATAACTGCAAGAAACCGAGAGCAGAGTTAGGCACGCTTATCTGACATGAACAAAAAATGTGAAAACAGCAGAGTAGAATTTGAAATTCGAAAAACGCGAAGCAGTGCTCATACACGGTGCCGGAGCATTTGCCCTGCCATCTCACATCCTTGTCTTTGAGCGCCTGGAGCTCGTCTATGACTCCGTCGGGATCCCCGACGGCGGGCAGCTCGGTTCGCAGGTTCTTCTTGCTGGACGCGCTGCCTGACTGCAACTGCTCAACAACCTGCAGCACGAATGCCACAATCAGTTGGTCACCGATGTCAGCATGGATGGGTGTGGCGTGCACGGCAGCAGCTGACTGTGAGATGCGTGTGCTGTCTGCCTGTTTCCAACAGTGCAAGAAGATATTGTCCTGCTTATCCAAAATTCTTTCTGAATCATGTCGAAATATTTTCTTGCTTATTATCCACCCAAGAGTGCTTGTTCGATTGCTGCTGGTTGGGATGGGATGGGATGGGATGGGCGGATGGTTAATCGGTGGTGGTGATTGGTTGGTTACCTTGCTCTTCTCGGCGGCGATGTATCCGCTGACCCCCGGCACCAACCTGCAGGCGGAGCAGAGCAGATTAGATTGGACTGGATAGATGAACTGACCAGCTAGTTGAATACGAGGAGCCGATGAGAGATATGTGTGTACTTGACGGCGGCCATGGCGAGGGTGATGAGGACGGTGCGGAGGCCGCGGTCGGCGACGTCGGCGGCGGCGGCGTGGACGGCGCGCGCGGCGAGGAGCGCGAGCAGCGGCGCGGCGACGAGGAGGAGCGGCTCCTGCCCCGCCAGCCGGTCGTTGGCCGCGGCCCGCAGGCGCTGCGCCAGCTCGGCGGCCGCCTCCATGGCAACTTCAAGCCGGATCCCAAGCTCGCTCGCGATTCTTGGTGTGGTTGGTGGATGGGAGTGAATTGTTATATACTAGTACTACAGTACTAGCCAGAGGAAGGGGGGTGGCAAAGAGGAGGGACGACGAGGATGGCCCGAGGAGCTGACCTTGTGAAAAGATTTCTGGGCTGAGATCGAGGAGGAAGATGATGATCTCGGGTCAGCGTGTATAACACGGTGGAGCCATTAATAATTCCATGGTATGAGAGTAATAATCCAGCTCTCCGCAGTGAAAACTTGACATATTTCTTGCGTTTTACTACTGCGTGCCATGTATGGTCAAGCAATCCGTGCTGTGGCCTGTGAGGGCAATCAATACTGTCGATTTTCTAGCTTGATTTCGCGTTGCTTCCTGAGGCGGGCAAGCTTCGTCTTCTTCTAGAAGCCTTCTGTTTGTGGTAGTGGCACTACATCAGCAGTCAGGATTGACTCTGACTCGACTCTACATGTTTTTTGTCTTGGGCTGGCCGGGGACGGACGGAAGACCCAACAGAGAGAGGCGCCACCGCCACGTCCCTCTCCATCTCTCTCTCTCTGCGGGTCAACAAAGGTATGCGTCGCGTGCCTACCTACAAATGTGGTGGAACTGAAACAGGAGGTGACACCGGAGTCGAGGCCTTTCATTTCTGGGCGATGCTAGGCGCCGGCGCACCGGCCGAACGCTTCGGCCGGTCTAACCCTAGCCATCGGATCGGCCCGTCCCGATTCGTTAGATCTTTATCCAATCAGATCGTCCTCTTCCTCTCGTGAGCGCGGACGGGAAAAGGAACCCCGTCTCGTCGGCCGCACGCGTTTTCCCCCGTCGCCGCCCCCCTCGCCTGCCCTCCCCGTCTCTGATCGCCGCCCTCGCCGCCCGTCTTCGCCGGCCGCCCTGGTCGTCGGTCCCAGCCCTCGGCGGCCGTTCTCGTCACCGGCTTCGTCCATGCAAACAGCCCACCCATGCGATTGTAGCTTCCGTGGCAAACCGTTGTAGCTCCGATGGCGACGACCGGAGCTCACCGGCGTGCTCACCGGTGCTCATCCCCCGCTTGCAACAAAAAAAATCGAGCTCCCAGGGAGATGCCCAGTGCTGCAACCTACGGCGAAAAAAGCTACAACTAGCAATAGGAAAAGTTTCAACCGGCTACGAAAAAAGCTTCAACCAGTATACCGCTGGAGCTATGGATGACCAAGAAAAGTTACAACCGGTGACAGAAAAAGCTTCATCTAGCGATGAAAAAAGCTTCATCCGACTATAAAAAAAAGTTTCAACTGTGGAAACAAAGCCATGGACCAAAAACGAAAAAGTTGCAACCGGCAGTTATAAAAGTTACAACCGCATTAAAAAAAGCTTCAAACTTCTTATCTCAGCTGCGACCCCGCGATGACGACGACGCCGTTTTGCTGCAACCATAGTAGATTTTTGCTACCACCGGTGATTGAATTTGCTACAACCGGTTCCAGCAAAAATTCACCGTGGGGTGTAGTCTGCCATGGCTGGTTGCAGCTCCGGCGTGGCCGGGTCCGACAAGGTAGGCAGAGCTCCGATGCATGCGAGGTAGGCGTCGCCGTGGTAGCACCCCGTAGCCCCGGTTGCAGCATCTCCCGTTGTCACCGCCCCTCGGTCGCCGGCGAGATGGGATGGGCACCGCGCAGAGCCATGGCGAGCTTCGAGCGGGGAGGGGAGGGTGGTGCTGCGACCGGGGGCGGAGGGGAAGGGGAAGGGATGTGGAAAGGGTGGGGAGGAGGAGGCAGAAGAAGAGGGCGGCGCGCGCCCCGGCGAGCTGCATGAGATGTGGGGGAGCTGTGATGGAGGAGGCGCGAGGAAGAGGGAGACCAGCCCAATGTTTCGCCGGTGCCCCGACCCCAAACGTTTCCCTTCATTTTTACACAAAATCAACCGCAAACCCCGTGTAATATCCAGGATCACAAACCTCCTACTCCCTTCATCGGAGTATATAGGGTCTACTACGTACTCCGAGATTTACTTTGACCAATACTTGGACCAAGCATACATAATGTGTGTGTGTGTGATGTAGTGAAAGGAGTTTCCGATGCGAAAATTGGTAGGCGCGGACGAGCGCGTGCGCTCCTGGTATCGCTAGCCATCGAACCTGCTATGAGATGTGGGCTGTGCGCTTTATTATATGTTATTCGGTTGTACATGTACGGCATATGCGAAGGTACAAATTAGCATACGTGTAACGGAGGTGGGCTTAGACGGGCGTTTGTCTCTGACGGGGTGGTTGGTACCTTAACTGACATGAGGAAAAGAGCTGCCGACTGAAAGTGGAGCAGACATCTGGATCTCGGCCAGATCAAGATTTTTCTTTTTTTTTTTGGAATCACCCGGCCATATTGCGTGATTCAGAGGCTAGCGGCGGCAAAGCAGTTCTTTGTCGAGCCTGTGAGCAAGTGCCAAGCTTGCTCACTTAAAGTGGCAGATTTGATGGTCGGCTCACAGTCTCAGGGTATGAACTACAGGCTTTGCTGGGTGGAAAGGTTTCAAAAATCAAACTAGATGTGTACAGTGCTGCGTCCGCGTCCATGGCCGAAGACAAGAGAGTCTGCACCCTGCTGTCAGTGCCGGCTTGATTGTCAAGCATAACATTTATATTAAAAATCATGCGTGTGATTTTAGTAAAATTTTCAGGATAAAAAATCGGGAAAAATAGGAGATACAACTGACTCTAGGGAATAGTAGCTGAACATGTCATCGTTAGCACACGAAGATTAATATGAGACCTTTGTTACAGCAGCATGAAACTTAGCTTTGAACAACACATCCACATTCAGGGCATTAGACAAATACGGTACATATTTTGGCTAAGGGCACTGGCAGTGAGCAGTCAGGATACAAGGGGGAAATAAGGAAAATCCAGTGATACTTGAAATGCTTGCAGCTTGCATAGATGAATCATGGTTCAACATTTCAGGAAAAATTAACACGAAAACAGGACATATAAGTGGAGATATATGCCTGACTAATGGATAGTAGATGAACATGTCATCAGTAGCACACTAAGATTAATATGAGATCTTTGTTACAGCAGCACAAAATTAGTTTTAAACAATGCATCTAGACAGCTCAGGGTTCAGACAAATACATATTACTAAGCTGACAATACATAATGTATATCAGGGGGCTGGCAGTGAGCAGTCAGGATACAAGGGGGAAATAGTAGAAATTCAGTGCTACTACTTGAGATGCTTGCTGCTTGCATACAGCTCAAGGGCACATTATTCATTTGAACCGAAGAAACTACCAATTATATTGTAAACTTTTCGAATGTTGATATTGTTCTCTCTAAGTTGTTTAACAAGGTCTCTTGTATATAGATGGATATTTTTATGTGAAGGTCAGTACACCTTTTCACCACATTTATCTGTCAAAGCATGATTGTGTGATGGCCTGTGCTCAGTTATGTACGCAGGGCACTCACAGCGGCATGTGCGTGTATTTCCTCTTTTTGGTTTGCCCTGAAAGTACAAGTTCATCGCCAAATGTTTCAGTGCATTTTCACAAAACAATTGCAGGAATGGGACAATGAATTTAATTTGGACCCACCGAGTATCCACATACTATCTCCTGCATACATTTGGTTCTCTTGACGTTGAGCCTACTTTTTTCGTATCTTATTTCGAATCCAATTTCCCACGAACATAGGTTGTGGAGGTCGTATGGCTCTCCCAATGAATCGAAGTTGTATCCAACAGATGGTACCACTACGGTATCAGTTTTCTTCTCTGCATATCCTCTTAATGTTTTTTTCAAGGGCACATACTCTTCCAGCACAAGGTGCACGCTCGATAGGGGCTCGCCCAATATGAACCCTGCATCATTAAGAATGAATTAATTCTGACTGTAAATGGATGCCTTCTTTTTCTTGAAGAATGCAATATTCATCAGTGAGCAACATGGAAGTACAGTTTTACAGTCAGAGATCTAAATTATTCAGAGATGTCTTAGCGTACTAGCTTCAGAGTTGAGCATCAACAAAGACAAACTGAGGTTTGCCTTATTTTTCCTCAAGAATTTACTTTGGATA